GTTATTAAATAGAGCTGTTTCACTTGCATCCTATTATCTTGCCAATCAGTTTATATATATAGACACTATGAGGTGCTGTGTAATAGGGAAATGTCCATGATAGCACCACATGAGCATGCAAATATTCTCAGGACCTGACACAATACAGAGAGCTGCAGGTGTATCTGAGTTAAATGTTGTTTTTTCTGCAGTAAAAGACAGTGAATTTATTTTCTATATCAATATAAGGCCAGTATTGCATCATGCACAGCCACCACGACTGAGAGGTTACACGCATCAACATTAAAAAGGTGGTGTCTTACCTCATCGCCCCACTTAAGCACATCTTTCTGCCTCTCCTTCACCTTGTTGTAGATGTTGAGGAACTGGATGATGCCGTGCTTCCTGATGTGGTCCGCATACTTCTTGGTTTCTTCCCAGTTGAGCGGAGACCCCTGTGACAGTAAACCCATCGCACAGACAGGCTGGAGGAGGTGTGAGCTGACGGCCGGGGGCTTCTGTGAACTTGCACGCTGAGCGTTAGCTAGCTAGCTAGTGTGTCGCGCGGAGCTAGCATGAAGTCCCGGTCCAGACAAAAGCGGCGGAGCCCGGGTCCTCAGGGTGCTGTCAGAGAGGTGAGAGGCTGAGGCTGAGGCTCTGGGTGCTGTTACGCGGCGTGCCCTGTCAGTAACCTTAGCAGGGCATGCAGAAGAGGCAGGCCCCTGCTCATCACTTGCTAATGTCTGGTTAGCTCGGTGAAGCACACCGGAGAGCTGATAATGCGGCTGCTCAGAGTTAGCGCTGTGTTGCACATATGTACACCCTCCTGGCTTCACACACGTGATGTCGTCAGGCGGAGCGGAGTGACATCACTATGACTCAGCATTCTTCGCCGCTCGGCTCCTCCCACCACCCTGTCAATCAGAGCAGGCAGTGATGATACATTCAAGGGCCACCGGAAATGACAACAGAGAGCAAGGCAGAAAACACCAGAGAATGTGAGACATTTCTGCCATAAACATAAAGTAGTAATATTTTTTGCTAATGTTTTCCCCAGATACCATACTGCCCCTGTGTCCTTTATTCTGAAAGCCAAATGGAAACTTAAAACTATAACTTGAACAAATTTGCACATTTGTTTTATGTTTAACACTACTTTTGGTAATATGGATTTTTTTGTTTTATTTTAGTATTTGTATTTTAGTATATTTAGAGTGTAATATAGTTTAGTCTCACATTGTGTATTCTATAGATATTCTATAGCTATAAAGTAGTATAGTATGGGTTTTTATTTTTTCTATTGATATATATTTTTCTCTTTAGTGCTATGTGTATTACTGTGTATGTACTGCTCTCAATTATAATCTGTTGCTGTAGGAAAATAATTTCCCAATTTGGGATCAATAAAGTCTATCTATCTATCTATCTATCTATCTATCTATCTATCTATCTATCTAAACGCAAAAGGAAGAGGAGAATATGGGGGTTAAAAGAGAGAAAATTGCACATCTTAATAGTTCATTTTCTCTTTCCAGTTTTCTTATATAGGTTTATTATATAGGTTTTTTCTCTTTTTTAAAATTTCACATTCAAATCTAAAATTGAAACTTTAAATTTTAGCATTTAAATTTGATCTTTTCTACTTTCTATTTCAGGTCTTAAAAGTTCATTTATTTTTTAATTTTCATATTGCCATTTCACAATATTAATTTGTCATGTCAGTCTCCATAGCACTCCACACAGCCATCTCTCACCTGGAGCAGCCAAACACATATGTTAGGATGATATTTATTGATTTCAGTTCCGCCTTCAATACACTCATCCCCCATAAACTGGTATTCAAACTTCGCAATCTGGGCCTGCCCACCCCACTGTGTTCATGGATCCATGACTTTCTCACCAACAGGCTGCAAGCGGTGAGAATAGGAGCTCATACATCATCCACACTCGTCCTTAACACAGGTGCGCCGCAGGGCTGTGTGCCCTTTTCACCATCTTCACACACGACTGCACCCCCATCCACGCCTCCAACACCTTTGTCAAATTCGCCGACGACACCACTGTAGTGGGCCTGTAGTGGGTCTCATTATTGCCTTATCAGACAATAATGAGACTCACTACAGAGAGGAGATCCACCACCTGGCCCGGTGGTGCTCAGACAACAACCTGGTCCTGAACACCGCCAAGACAAAAGAGGTCATTGTAGACTACAGGACGACCAGAAGAACAGCACACGCTCCACTACTCATACAGGGGGAGGTAGTGGAGCGTGTGGACAACATCAAGTTCCTGGGAATCCACATCACAGCTGACCTCACCTGGGCTCTGAACACCACACACTTAGTAAAGAAGGCTCAGCAAAGACTCTTCTTCAGACTGTTCTCTCCCCTGCCCTCAGGACGGAGGTACAGGGCCCTCAAAGCAAGGACAAATAGACTGAGGAACAGCTTTTTCCCCAGGGCTGTGGCCTCCATCAACCCCCCTGCACTCACATACACACCAGCCCCAAACTGAGGAACTGACCTTTGCACTTTGAACTGCACCGTTGCACTTTACCTCACCTTGCTGCTGTTTTTACACTGCCTGCTGCCTCTTTTATCGAAGTTTTTATACTGCTGCTATATCTCTCACGCACTTTATTGTTTACTGACGTCTTTTTATATTTATATTTATATACTGTCTGTCCTTTTATTGTGTTGTTATCTTGCCGAGGGTACTACACGTAATTTCGTTGTGCAATGCACAATGACAATAAAGTCTTCTTCTTCTTCTTCTTCTTCTTCTCCTCCTCTCTCCACATTCAGCATGTTCACCTCCAAGATCGTCTGAGACCAGCCACCCGGACAGCTGCTGCAACAATCGGTTTGCATAACCAAAGAATTTCTGCACAAACTGTCAGAAACCGTCTCAGGGAAACTCATTTGCATGCTCATTGTCCTCATCGGGGNTCTTCTTCTTCTTCTTCTTCTTCTTCTATCCAACTTAGTTTTTCAGTTTACCCTTTTCATTTGTTCAATTATGGACTGATTATTCTGGATAGTTCAGACCTATATTATAAGACAGATCTATAATATTAATTTTCTCTTTTCCTTTTTAATTCTGGATAAAATTACCCTTGGTTCAGCTCCCGGTAATTCAGTTCACCTTAATAAAGGAAAGAGAACAGCACCAAATACCTGGTTAAGAGACTGAATACTGTTCAACATTTTTGCTTAATAAGTTGCTTTTTCTTAATCAGCCATAATTGTCTGTCCACTGATCAATCAATTAATCAACTAATTGTAACAGCTCTTGTGACGCACATAATCCTCTCAGACCCGGTTGAAAATTGGATAATAATAAATAACAATAAAAGACAAACGACACTCAACACTCTACAAAATTCTGTTATTTCCTAATGTGAAAAAAAACCCTACTCCTAACATAAGGCAATTTCATTTATTTAGGACACGGTGTGAAAGATGTTAATAGTTTAGTTTGTTTAATCCTGCTGATTTGTTTCCCTTCTTTTTCTTTTTTGTTTTGTTTCTTTTGGCAAGTTGACTTCTTGTCAGTGTCTGTTCTGAAAGATAAAATTTAAAACATTCCTGATGAGTCAGCACAAAGCAGTTCTGTCTTTACTACCATCACAAAGCTGTTTACTCACTTAATCCTCTGTCTGATCATTTCCAAATCTCAGTTTTAAAGTTACTGAGTCACGTTTATAACTAAAGCATGGGAAGTACCAGCTTATCAGAAGCACCTAAACGCAACATCATAGAGGGCAAAGAGTGATTGTAATAATGACACAGCACTCTGTGTCATTCTTTTATGGGGTGTGTGTTTTGTACATGCAAGGGTGGATGAAACAGATTAGATGCCACTAAACTGCACTAACATCTGCCCCAAATAAGGATGTGGTTTAACTCTCACCACACCTCATTTCCTTTGTTTTTTTTCTGGCTTACTGTTATACCATTCTGTTTGTTGGGAATCTTTTTGAAGTTGAACAGCATGTACTAAAACATACATGTGAAAACAAGTAACTGTTCACACCTGAGGAGAAAATTTGGTGCTCAAATAGGATCACATCAGTCACAGTAAGAAGCTGATTGAGAAATAGTTATTTGGGGTCCTTTAACATTGATTTTATGTCTACTTCGCAGTTAAGGCTGTAAGGACTCTGCCTAAATTTCACACATGCTACATGTTTGACAGAATGACGTTGACTGTTACGTGTGAGATGAAACCGAAGTGTGAGATGCGTCACTCTTTGGGATCAATGAACTTGCAGAGGGAGTACACCTAAATACATTCAGCATAATATTACAGCACTTTTATGTATTCAGTTGGCTCATGTTACATGCCCGAGGCCCTGTTTGCTCACTCTGACAGCGTAAAGTGCAGAGTAAATGAGCAAGAGTTGAAGTCTTTGTGGTTTTACAGTTATCATGTTTAACAACAAAGGTGAGATCATATTTAAGAGCTACAGGTAGATCACTTGATGCCACTGAGCTTCAGGGTATTAACAGTTTCAGATTTCAGGATTTGGCACTGGTGTACAAACACTAACCTACTATCTACTTGTCTTTATGTAAATACTAACAAATGTGTAAAGATAAAACACACATTTATGAGTTATGAGTCTTGGCTGATACAGAATCACAACCATATGACACCAGGGATGTAGGATTAAAGATGTGAAAACAAAAATGCTCATGATTCAAGCTCAAAAAGGGCTGCAATAAACACAAATCTAGTGAAACTAAATCTTTATATTGTTGTTTTCAATATTAACTGCACCTTGGCCTTTTCAATAATTCAAAAATACACTACTAAAAAGGGCAAATATGTAAGAATGGAAGTTGAAAGGCAAAAAATTATTCTGTGTACATGTAGACTTGTTGATTTATGGTGATCAAAGCCAAAGCTGAACCAATTTTATGTCATGCAAATACATCCCTTTAAAGACAAACAAACTGAACATACAATATAAAAACGTTGCATGAAATCTACTATGAATAAATGACCGTAGCTCAGAGTAACTTCATTTCATCTCTTTAATTTAAAAACAAAAAAAGAAAGAAAAGACATGAGCAGTCAGGGAAATCACGACTCCCAGAAAAGCTCAGGCTGACATCATCATTCCCAACTTCCATTTTTCTTTGTCTTTTTTCTTACAAAACAGTTTATTGTTCTCACACCTAAACCCATTCAACCCTCACCACTCCAACATTTCCCCAACAGGATCCATTTCTTTGCACTGATAGTGTTTATGACACAAGACCACTGAGCGCTGCACATGAGACGCATGTAGAGAAACTGCAGCCTGACTGTGCAGTGTGTTTAAACACTCAGCACAAGCACCTACGCCTGGTAGGTGATACCAACATTTGTTTCACCTCCAGCTCGTTATTCTGGTCAAGTATCTGAGAATCACAGTAGCTATGGTTGACATGAACAGGACTGTCACAAAATATGTGTTGCAAACAACACAATGTTGATCAATTTATGGCTCCGGGTAAAAAAAGACAATCATGTTACAGATTAATCTCAACAACAGCAGTGATTTTGCATTTTATACCTTTCATTTGACTTTTTATTAACAGTATATTTGCTATAGAAAAGGGCTAGTGAAATTATCCCAACTGAATTGGCCCCAAAGGTAAATTTCTGTCTAAAAATGATTTTAAAAAAATGGTTATGGCTCTCTGTCATAAACATTTTCTGACTTTAATCATGCCAATTATACAAATTATTAAACTAAAAACACTGAAAATACATTTAAAGGCTTCAATTTGCTTCTACTGAATGGAGTTTTAAAAAAATCCTAGAAGAACATGTTCCCAAATTAGCAAAAGTTGATAATTTACCTTATCGTCTTCACCCCTACTGGTAGAGTTTAGAACCAATATTTATGCAACAGAAAAAGCTGGAGACCTTTTGACATGTAAACTACATTATAACCATCTAAACCTTTATATACTGACTGGTGCAGAAGACACTGAACTGGCTCTGGACTCTCGTGTTTTCCGTGTGGGTATGGTGACGACACAGCATGAAATGCCGACAGTAGCTTCTGGCAACTCATCGTCCTCAGTCCATTCATTGAGGTCAGGGTTGAAAACCTGAATGCATTTCTTGTACTTCTTCTCGCCCTCGTTCCAGCCTCCGAGGAGATAGATCTTGTTGTTCAAAATGGAAATGCCCGCCGTGCTCACTCCTGTGTGGAGAGGCGTGCAGTAGCTCCACTGCCCACTCTGGGGGTTGTAAGACTCGACAGCGAGGACGTCCACCCTCTCCCCACGACCTCCCAGCTGACTGCCACCGATGACGTAGGCTCGGTCTCCCACGGTGGCAGCACAGTGCCAGCCTCGAGGTGTGCTCAGACTGCTCTTATCCTGCCAGGTGTCGGTGGAGGGGTCGTACGCACACACTGCCCTGGAATAGGCATTGTTGATGTAACCTCCAGATACAAGGATCTTGCCATCGATGAGGGAGCTGGCGTGACAGCAGCGGGGCACCTCCATGGGAGCTTTCATCTGCCACTGGTTGGAGGAAGGCACATAGCACTCCACAGAGGCCTGAACCCCATCGCTGTTTCGCCCACCGATGGCGAACAGGAGGCCATTGAAGATGTTCAGGCTGAAGTGTGTGCGGCGCTGGATCATGTTGCTCAAGTGAATCCAATTGTTGAAGCGGGGATCATATCTAAAAAAGTGGGACAGGGATGTACAGTTATTTTCTAACTCTACCCAAACAAATGCAATGATAATTAAAAATCAAACATGAGGATCAGTTCTTACCTGCAGAAGTTACTGACAGCATGTTTCGCCTGGTTCCTTGCGTCATTCTGGTCCTCGCCACCTGCCACATACAGGAAGCCGTCCAACACTGCCACACACTGATTGAAGCTCTTTGCTGGCATTTCTGTCAACTTATTCCACACGTTATCTACATCTCTGTAGAGAACGTCTTTGCTGAGAGATTTCTCTGTCAAGGCAGGGCGCCCGCCGACTGTCAGTATCACCTTGAGGCCACCACGCACCTTTGTCCTGCGTGACTGGAGGATGTTCTGCTGGTAGGGCAGCAGATGGTAATTCATGGCATCAACAAGGAGACGGTGGCACTCGGGGTCTTGCATCATCCTGGGCGCGCTCTGGACATGATTCACCAGGTCTTGGGCAGAGATAGTGCCGAAGCGGATGAGCGTCAGGAGATCTGCTGCGTACTTCAACCTCTTCTCATCAAAGTCCAGCCACTTCATAGCAATCTGGAAGGCCGTGACCTCGGAGGGAAGCTGCAGGGAATCATCTGAGAGGAAATCGCTAATCTGCTCATAGGTGAGCTTCAGGAACTGCTCCATCTCAGAAAACTCGATGAAGTTCTCCCGCATGAACTTCTGAGCTGCCTCCTTGGTTTCTTTGAGGTCGTAGGCGTCGGCAATGTTGGCCACATACATGCAGTTCTCCACACTGAGCTCCTGCATGAGGAAATCACTGCACATCTTCACTAAGGTGCCGATCTGCAGCAGCATGGCCGCAGCGATAGTGCTACCGATGCTGTACAACGACAGGGTCAGCTTTCCAGAGTATGCATATGTAATTGCTGTGGCAAGGCCGACCGGCGAGAGGTCGTTAAGGTCGATCTTCTGGAGGGCTGAATCCTTCTTCAAGATGTTTCGAATGTACTCGCTGCAGGAGGCCATGACAACCTTGTGGACATCAAATGACTTTGACTTGGTGGTGACTGTTAGATCGCAGAGGAAGCTGTCCTGCCTCATGGTGCTCAAACCCTCCAGAAGGTTTGGGGCATAAACTGAATCTGTAACTTCAGTGGAAATGCAGTTGAAGCCGTTTCCTCCTTCCAACAGGGTGTTGAGCCCATTGATCTTGTTGATGGGGCTGTCCTCCACCATTATGGTCATTTCATTTATGTCCCCTTTGCTCTTTTTGGTCGCCTTGTTCTTTTTGGGTGCCATGGCTGTAGCAGCAGAACACAGCCCAGACCTTCCTGAAACACACATTAAACATGTTAGATTTAATCAGAAAGTGCAAGAAGATGCACAGAAGTCATAAATAGATAAATTATGACAAATGCAACTTGTGACAGTTAAAACTTATGCCGGCAAAGAGTTAGCTTAGATTTAATCTGGCCTGCTTATCAAAGTATTAGTGACTAGTGACTGAATTCACAAGACTGAAAGCTGAAACATTAAATTTGTAATGGCTTCATGTGTATCTTGTTGCCCTTGTGTCATGCCCATGTGCTGTTTTCTGTGTCCTACGCTAAGCAATAATGCCAAATCCTTGTACATAGCAGCTTCTTGTATCTAAATAGAAAAGTTTCGTTAGGTTTCAGAGTTGGTAGAATTTATTTAGACTCCACCAGACACCGACACCTTTCAAAACATGTGCTACCAGGTGATGCTGGAGCGAGTGAGTGCGTCAACATGTCCCTCTCTGCATCTGTCACATTTTATCAGCAGTACGTCCAGGAATAGCAACGCTGGACGGCTCACCCATGACGTTCCTTTTATAGACTTTGAGACATGAGCAGCAGGCCTCATGTCCTCTGGCTGTTTAAGTTCAAATTAGGGCAAACATTTATTTTTTTTTGTCTCTTTTCTTTATTTTATTAAATTGTTGTAGGCCTGTCCTGAGTACATGTGCAATTTACACAATCTACAAGACAAAAAAGTTCCCTAGAAAGCCACCAATCACGTTAGTCACCCACAATCCTTGAAAGCCTGAAGCTTACTGTCACCATGGTGGCGTAAAAACTAATGTTACAGAGAAAGCAACAGCTCTAGGCAATTTATCTGCTTTTGAATCTCATGTAAGTAAAAAAAAAGCACATTTTCCAATCTTAAAGTTGGTGACACACACTGAAGCATTAACTGCACCAAACTGCCTCTTCATTGCTGAAATGGCAAACGATCAAACATAGCAAAGCTCCACTTACCTGAGAAATGAAGTTGAGGCTGGTGAAGAAGGAACTTGTGCCTCCAGTTACTGGAGCAGGAGAGAGAGAACAGCAGTCACCCCAGCTGAAAGAGACATGCAGTTAACTCCTCCTCTTGGGGTGTGAGTGCCAATCAAGTATTGTGCAATGCATGTGGCAGAGGAGAGGTACCATGCAACCCCCCCCCAACATACAGTGTCCCACAATAGCCTCCAATCAGTTGATGTCAACATACTGCGGGGATTGACCTATATTCTCGATGAGATGTCAGAGAGTTTCATTTGGCCATTGTTTAGAAAAATCATTAGCACTCAGTGGTGTAAAGAGCAGTTATTTTAATATCAAGGAATAAGTACTTTAATAGATATCTTACTCCCACAATACTGTAGTAAAACTAATGGAAATCAGCAGAAAATAGAAACTAAGATGTCCAGACGATGCTTACAAGACTTGAGCACCACTTCATTATCAACACATTTAATAATGTGTTTGCTAAAAGGTGAGGTGAGTTGTAGTTCCTACTGGGGATCCCGTTTGTGGCCCTCCAGTTTGAAAAAAAACGCATTTATTTTTTCAACCACAAAAGAAATCAAAGGCTACTGCTTGGCCAGCCATCAGTTTCTGACTGAGAATGTGAATTAAGCTGCTGATTTTGCTCCGATATGCTCCAAAAAATGCCACAGAGGAGTAGCGTATTTATCATATCTAGAACCATTCTGGCAGAATTTAGCCTAATGAGCCACTCAACAATTTCCCAGATTTTGTAGTGGATACTGTAGTCCATACATGTATGTAACAATGCAGAAAAAGGGGATTCAAACTACATTTTTTTGTGGGGGAGGACCCCGAGACCCTCTGTTTTATGGTGCCCCCTTCACTTCTCAAACCAAAGTTACAGCCTTGGTGCAGAGGACAAAAGCTCAGACACACAAGAGTGACCCCACCATCTGTGTCCGGCTCATATTGTGTGATTGGTTTCTTGGCTCAAACCTGAAAAGGTGTACAAATTCTGAAATATGCCATCAGCAGAGTCCTAAGAGTCATGATCATAAATCATATATATGTTTAGTTAAACCAGTGGTGTGGTGGTAGATGAGTAGGATACAGAGGAGAAAGTGGGTGGGGGTTTCTATTTATTCCAGTGGCTTTTTCGCTGATAGGTGGGTATACTGTAAATGCCCCGAAAAATAAGTGGGTATACCCTCAACTACACCTTACATGTCTTTTATCAGTCCAATATGTCCTTTCAAATGGACAGTAGTTGCCAAAAAGGGGCCAGCATGTGCCAAGAAGGCTTGTGGGGGAAATTTCAGAAAGGTAATTTACTTTCTTAATTACTTTAATTTTACCTATTTTGTCACAATATATTCTGTCATAATATATATTTATTGACACATGCTTAATTGTTTCTACACCGTAGAACAACATCATCTCTGCCATCGGTTCCGCCCATTATAATAGTGTCATCAATGGGCGCACGCTGCCCGGTGTGTGTAGACGGTTGCACGTGAGTCACCGTGATGGCCAGCAGCTCTGATGTGGTGAAGAAAGTCATGCGGTTCAAACTTCAGCTGGCAGACACAGCAGAGTCTACCTCGGTAGATACAATCTTTATTTATTTCTGGCAAGAGCGCGCACAATAAACAGAGCAGGGCTAAATTGTTTGTAGTATTTTCCCGTTTCCGGTGTGTAGCTATGTGGTGATACAGCCAATAATTGTTCCAGGAACATTACTGCAGTTTCATTAGTTTTTAAGAAATTCTTTTACTTTTAGATTTGTATTGGCTAAACAAACAAATTGAATGATGCTAAATGCACAATGTCAGATCTGTCAGCTGTAAAATATTCCCTGCGTCTTTACGCTCGTCTTGTGTCCGCGTTAATGTGTGGAAACCGGCTGATTGAGAGCTGTCTCAGTCAGTGACATGTGCGCTCCCACCACGCTGCATTTTAAGCAGTCCTTTGTGGGGTCAGGTTGTTTAAATGGGAGGCGCTTTGCTGCTAAAATTGGCACCTTCTCCAGTTGTTCAACTTATGGCTGCTGTCCATCACCTCTTCAGGCGAAGAGTCGCTTTTACGCATAGATTGACTTAGAAATTGCCCGATGTTTAAATTAGATTTAAGTTTAAATGCATTCAAATCAAATTAAAATGTTCAAGCACAACATGACAAACGATTCAGTTATATAGGGAGACTTTACAACAGCCAGCAGCTTTCATCCATTTATAGTCCACGGTAAACGGAGCAGCCTAAGTGGGTGTGTGGTTCCCATACATAGCTCCTGCTCTGAATGCACAATCAGCAACTGTGGTGATCCCAAACTAGGATGACCATATTTGGCATGTCAGGTTTTTCCTCAGTTTACTTCACATTTGTGTCCTAAACATGCATTAAAATCATGTTTCAGTACTGTTACAATAATGTGTTTATTGCTCTGTTTCCAGGTTGTAAAGATTTTGCAGAAACTCAAGGATCTGGATATCACATTAGACATTCTTGCTGTGAGTCTCTGTTGAGATTTTGTGTTGATATATTTGCATATGGAGTTTGATTAAGTTTTATTTTTTTGACTGTGCTGACATGCATCTGCATATAAATTAGGAAACTGGAATTGGCAAAACGGTTAACTCCTTGCGCAAACATGAACAGGCTGGAGAATTGGCAAAGTCGCTAGTTAGGGGTTGGAAAAGACTGGTCCCCAAGGAATCCACAAGGTGATGTAAATGTGGCATTTTTGTTTTTTAAACAGTGTGCAGTAATTGTTATGTGTTCACATCTTAATTTTGATTTTTTCCTTGATGCAGCCACACAGAGGATGGGGATACATCAGAGAGTTTGTCTGTTAAAGACAAACTGGACGGCCAAAACTGTCCTAATAATGGAAGTTTGACAGCGGAGGATTCAAACAATAATTGCTTGACATCTAAGAGTCAGAATTGTTCAGACGAGGCTCTCTTCAAAACCGGGATTAGGAAAGCCGGTTCAGAGAAACAATGTGAGGAAGAGAAAAGACACAAGCACCAGAATGAAAATCAAGACAAAAGTTGCCAAGAAAACCAGGATGACATCTGGAAAAAGAACATTCACATCCAAGATGATCAAACGGACAATTCATTTGTCTCCAAGAAAAAGAAAAGTGATGAGAGTAACAGAAAATCAGGACATATTTTGCTTGGAAACAAAAACTCAGAGGACACTCATCAGAAATCCAGCTCTGACTCCAAGGAAACACTGAAAGGCAGCTCTGATAGTGGAGGATTTGTGTCAGAAAAAGGGTCTCATAAGAAACCAAAAGAATCGTTTTCATTTGAGTCCTGTGACAAACACTCTGAGACATCAAAGCTTGCAGGTGTCAGAGATGACAGATCTTCAGAAAGGAGCTCAGAAGCCGAAAACAAAAAAAGGAAAAAATCAAGTAAAGAGAAGCACGGCACTCAAAAATACAAAGAGGAATCTGAAAAAGACGGGCATCCAAAAAACAAAAAGGCCAAAATAAAGCACACAGATGTACAAAGTGACTCCGAGGGGCCCTCCTTGTCTTTTGAATCGTACTTGAACTATGACGTGAATGTTGTCAAGAGAAAAGAAAGATCTGCAGTGAGGAAACCTCCCAAAACAATCAAGACTGTAAAAGAGGAAGCAACAAAAGATCATGGCGTTAAACCTTTCAGATCCCCCGTGAGGTCTATAAATGTTACCTCTCCAACAAAGGTATGCTTGACAATAATCTTAAAAGTTTAGCTTTCAGAGTGCAGCTCATGATCGATTAATGTTAACCAACAATCCTTCATATTCAGAAGTTCAAGCAGTCTGTAATGGACCTGATTCCATTTACCATCCCTTTACCTGCTGCTCTGCCTGAATTTGACTCACCATTCAGTGTGGACTACTTTGAGAGGAAAGGTATTTATAACACATACAGCTGTGTTTTCAGATTGCTTTTTCATTCTTAAAAAAAGCCAATCTTCTCCTTTTGTCTTATAGTTGAGAAAGAGTCTGATTTCTGTGACGTCTCTGAGGACTTTGGAGTCTTCACTGGTCAACGACTGAACAAAAAGATGCAAGTGTACTCTGGAGCCAAGACCGTCTTCCTCCCAACCATGATGAGCTTGCACCAACAGTGTATCCGCACCCTCCAGAATAACATTAACTGTGAGTAAAGCCCCCCAGGGCAGCTTTTTGCTGATCAGTCCGTCAGTTTGTTGGATTCATATTTAGGTTGCAGGGATCTTTCCTCAGTGCTTTATGAAACTGGCGGAGTCCCGTTTGAAATCCTCGAGCCGGTGTTGGAGAGGTGTACACCGGAGCAGCTGCTGCGCATTGAAGAATTCAACCCAGTAAGAATGTGAATATGAATAGATTGAGCACGGACACATTCTCAGTGGTCACTTTATCAGGTACACCTGTCTGGCACTGCATTTGATCCTCCGTTTGTCAATGTTACAACTATATTTTCATTCAAAGGAAAAGCCATTAGGTTGTTAAATCTACAGGGTGTAGCCCCCTGGGAGCATGAATGTAATCAGTAAATTTTCCTTTTAGATATCTTGTGTGCAAAGTTGGAAAATGTCAATGGCAAATCTTTTATAATAATGTTTAGTTGAACATTAACCTTCGACAACATTGCCACACTTTATATGCTGAGATGTGCCAAATTTGAAGGCCGTTAAAGTGCAACTCTGTTAATTTTTTTTTTTGCCACTGACAGGCTCAGATTGTTACTCTTAGTGTCTGACAACATTACGGAAGAATCCCTACAGTGGTCAACCTTTTTGCTAAAGAGTAAGATCCTTTTTGTTTTAACCAAAAACAGTCCTGAAGTTGCTATCACCATAACCACCAGATTCCATTTAAAATAACAGTAATTTTATCATCGTAAAACACACTTCATTTAAAATCGACAGAAACAAAATAAAACTCACAAAAGCAGCTTTGTTTAGTCTTCCCACTGTTCCAACAATCACCAACTCTGGTTTCATTGAAATATTGCCTTCATTCACTCAGTTAGATGTGAAAATATGCCGGCTCTGTACAAGCTAAAATCACTGTTTATTTAAATGGAGTCTGGTGGGATTAGCATTTGCAATTTTGTGGCTGTTTCCAGTTAAAAAAGGATCTT